CTTGATATCACCTCTGATTTGGTCCAAGACCTGCCCCCTAAATATGAGCACATCTATGTGGACAACCATTAATTGAGACAATCTTTTCATTTCATTCATAACCACTTTATGTGCTATTTATGTATTTTATATCTAAATATAATTTTGTTACATAATATACAGTATTTTCACATAATCATACTTTAAATTTGTTTTAAATACTTAAATAAGTTTAATTAATGTTTATTTACTTCTAAAAGATTTAAAGTTTTATTAAAAGAGAGATTTCTATTTGAAAAAATTCCTTTTCAAATGTGATTCAAGAAATATAAAACTATCAAAAAGTTTATGTATTATATAATATTGATGACAAACTGTGGTCACAATTACAGCAACTGTAAGCACCAAATGGCTTATCAAGTGATATATTGATCCCATTATCACATTCGTCACAATTTAATCAATTTGTCTTATTTGACACAACCATTACCTCTAATCTTATATTTTATTGAAATAATTATATTAAATAATGAAATTACTTTTAATTAAGACATTTTAACTGAACCAGGCACAATAATAGTCACAGTACAGTATCATATCAATATTCTGTTAAATTTATTCTGATACATTTTATGATATCGTAACTGAATTTAATTCATAGCATTCTGTACTAAACGTTATTTGTGTTCAATGTTTATATTTTGCAAATTGTTGTCAAATAACGAGTGTTTGATTGCAAGAACTGTCAACAAGTGTTGCAATCAGTGGTCACTTGCAGTGAATGACCAGAAATGCAGGCAAACAGTCACTCAAACCATACAAACCCCACAAACCCTACAAATACTCATAAATCAAGTAATAATGCATTCAATGAATGAATCAATGAATCCATGCTCTCATCACTCAATCACTCAATGATTGTATTTCAGAAACTGTGGTCTATTTGCTGATTGTCCTCATTGTGACGATTATCCTGTTTTATGTGACCAAAAGTGATGACGTGATCACATTCTTCCTCATTTTGGCCACTCTTATGATTATGACATTTAGTGTCATGTTTTGTGTCAAATGCTGTTGTCGTCGACGACTCTCGAGGGGAG